CCCTTCTTCTCTCTTTCTCTGGATTTCTATTTTTTTTTTCTTTTGTTGCTGTGATTCAAATGGCTTCTGGAAGAACAAGAAGCCTGCAATACAATTTCATTTGTATTGCTATCTCCTCCGAATCCTACAGGTATGGATTAACCTTTCCTTTTCTGTTCTTCTTTCGCAATCAAATCCAAAAGTCGATTTCGCTCTTCCTTTTCACATTTCTAGGGATTTTCGCCCTCTGATTTTGCATATTTAGTATATCGATTTTGGAAATCTTGCAATCCCTGTTGATTTGTGAATTTTGATGCTTTTTTTTCCCTCGTTGTACATGGTGAAGATGATGAGTGAAGGCAGAATGGGTGCGATGGGGACGGTGACAGTGGTTTTGGTTGTGACGGTGCTGGTTTTGGTTGCGGAAGGAATCGATACGAACGACGTATACAGTCCATGTTTGGATGCGAAGATTCAGAAATCAGATGGATTCACTTTTGGCATAGCGTTTTCGTCGAAGGAAGCTTTCTTTCAGGATCAGATTCAATTTTCGCCTTGTGATAGTCGTCTCGCTTTGATATACAAAAACACTCAACTTGCCCTTTTCAGGCCTAAAGTCGACCAGCTCTCTTTACTCACCATTAATAGTACGACTTTCAATCCGGTACGTCTGTGACTCATCTCTTCACAATGTTTATCTCATACCATTTTCATCGATGAAAATTGATTTCGTTTTAACCAATTCCATTGATTTCGTTTCTTCCCCTGTTTTACCAAGAACATGAACTGTAGACAATTATAGAATAACAAGGTCTAAGAATTTGAATCTCGACCTGATCTATGTTCAATATAGCTTTTCATATTTATTCTCCATGATAATTATTGAAGAATGACAAAATCAGATAAGAGTTATTTTTTTATATAGAGAATCACAATTCAAACAAGGGGTAAGGATTAGCAAACATATAGATGATTCTTTTTCCTGTTTCTAGTACAAGTATGAACGGGGGAGGATTTTACTTCCACTCTTAAAGGTTTATTTGTATAAGTATGAATTATTCACCCGCGGCAAGTTGTCATAACTAAAGGGTTCATATTTTAATTTATTTTGGTTATTAACTCTCATTTACTTCATAATCAAATGATTCATGTATGACATTAATGCTTCTAATGCCTATATAAAAGTTTGTCTAGCATTATTTTGAGACGTGGAGTCATTGCCTTTTTGTATTTGCATAGTGAAATTTGGATTAGATGTGGAGTCATTGTCATTTTTATATAGTAGAATTTGGGTTAGATGTGGAGTCATTGCCATTTTGTATTTGTCTAGAGGCAATTGGGAGGAACTTAGTAACGTAGTAAGAGAGACTTTGTAGCGTGAGAGTGTGATAGATACACTTGTAAACACTTTGGTTATTGTGATTTGGCTACCATCCGTGGATTTAGAGGAATTTTTTCTCTCCGAACCATGTAAATCTTTGTATCTATTTGTTCAATTTCTGCTTATGGATGTGTGAGTACGTTTTTGTGTCTATTTGTGGATATGTGAGTACAATCGATCTTGCTTCCTCCTTTACCGACAACAATTGGGTATCTCTGCCATTTTTGTCCAACAATAAGTCAATCCATGATATAGATAAAATGGATGACAACTCATCCAACTAGAGTTCTGTTCTACCAATTAGAAATATGTGTAGTTAGCAGTTGGAAACATTTGTAAAGGTAGCACAAAGCAGAGAAAAAAACCTCTCCAAATCACACACTTCAAACAATTTTTTTCATTGGTCAAACCGTGGGTGGGTCACTAACTTTTTGAATGTTGAAACAATGAACTAATGGAAGATTTTGGTATGGTGGATGATTTGATTATATGATTGTTAGAAAGGAAGGTTAGGACATCAATTTAAAAGTTCAAATGAATATGATTCGTGGTGGTTTGCAGGCTATGAATGGTGGGTATATGGTAGCATTTGCTGGGCTGAAGTATGCAGCAAGATCTCTCCCAGTAATGATTACCGATAACTCTCACACCATAACTAGTTTCACTTTGGTAAGCCCATAAACCACCATTTACCATTGTGATGATACCCACCACCACCATTGTGATGATAACAGTTAAGTGTTGCTTGTGTCAATGTTGTACCCAGGTTTTTGAATTTCAAAGGGGCACTCTTCAAAACCTGTTCTGGAAGAAATATGGATGCGAGAAATGCACTGGGGATTTTTCAGTGTGTCTGGACAACCAAGACTGTGCAGTTTCGAGCTCCAAATGCAAGTACCATGGCGGTTCTGTTGACTGCAATATAAGCATACAACTAGCATTTTCAGGGACAGACAGGAACCTGGAAGTCCTCAACTCCTGGTTTGAAGTTGACAATCTCATGCGCTTCTCCCTCTTCAAACTTTTCGCTGATGTTCGTGATACCGTCACCAATCCATTCGGGTAAAATTCTTCATCTCTGTAGGCAAGGAACCAATATTCTTCATCGTAGCTCAGAGCTATGATCTACATTTTGTTAGATATTGTACAATCTTGAAGATTCAACACACACATATATATACATGGTGCAGCATAATACCATTGAATTTTATGGCTGAACTGTATTGATATTAATCAAATCTGTTCTGATATTAATCATAAGAGCATATTGCCTTAATTTAGTTAGTGTTAGTTTATGAAATGATTATTAGATAATCAGCTGCACTACTTTAAGTTGGCTTACTTACTTACTTAGTGGTGAGAGTGAGAGTGAGTAATGCACAATGGTTTTGTTAAGTCTCAAGAAAGTATGATCATAACATGTGGTAGGTCTTAGATTCGTCCCGCTCGACTTCTATTTGTCTGTTTTATGGATGATGGTAACAATTATCGATTATATGTTTAATTGGAGGAAATTGAGGAGTAATAGCTGAATAACACAAGAAAGGAGTTTATCGACTCAAATTAGTAGCATTTTAGAGCTTTTGGAGCTTCTAAACAAGTATAACTTGTAAAATGTCCGATCATGTGATTAGGAACTTAGCCACATTCATATGTGTTGATTACAAGAATAAAGTATTGATAGATGTGTTCACGTGATTAGATTACGAGCATGTTAGGAATTTGTGACTATCGTGTATATTGTGTGCATCTAGTTTATGATTATGGATTCATCGTAATATGTGGCATGTTCGGGAAAATACCCATTTTTATGATGGAACGATGTAGGAGCCATTAGAGGTTTGCCAAACGAATTGTAGTGGTGATTATGCCTCATGTACACTTTACGGTTTGATGGATGATAGGTTGAGAGACATGTCGCCTATTAGTCTACTATACAACGCACAACCCTTTCATTCAAGTTGCTAGAGAGTCTAGTAAACAAGTCATGTAGAGTCTAGTAAACAAGTCGTATTTGACTGAGAGCATGTCTGACATGTGAGCTTGAAGACTATAAATAAGCATACATAGAGAAAATTGGAAGAGACTAGTCAAAATACCCTAAACCAGAACTGGAATAGGCAATTCGAGCTTATGAAATAAACTTATGGTTGAATCGAGATCCTCATTGGACAGTTAATTGGATATGTGTAACTTGTTAATGAACCACTATAATTAATCTTTGCTTATTCGTCTTCTCTTTCCTCACATAACTCTTAATATTTCACAAAGATCTTTCCTCACACAACTCTTAATATTTCACAGAGATCCTCAGAAATGAACAGTTAATTGGATAATTTAAATTAATGAAACGTGTAACTTGTTAATGAACCACTATAATCTTTGCTTATTCGTCTCCTCTTTCCTCACACAACTCTTAATATTTTACAGTTCCACTCCTTCAACAAGATTATTGGATAATTTAGATATAAAAGTCTTCTTTTTTTACTAAAGTTGTTAGATCAAATCTTAAGAGTTTCCTAATAATTACTCTCTACAAATAATGTAGCACCACGACCCATCAGGCATCCATCTCCACACCCCATCTAAGGTACTAACCAAGTCATAGAGAACCTACCAATAAATAAATTGAACTTCTTGGAGATTTTCATCCTTCACATTGAGGTCTATCGAAGCATAGACCAAATCTCTTCTAACTAGATAAAGAAAGTTCGATAATGTCAAATTTATGCATCTTCTAGATTGTCCGATCCCTAAGTTGCTCGAAACACGAAGCAAAAAGTTCGGCGTCGGTGCCTCCTCCTTGGCCTCTCTTTCTCCAACACTCTGTTCTCCCTGCCAACACCATTTTTAGAGTGTTGTTTTTGAAAGTACATGGCCTTCGACTCTTTAATTATCTAGGCTCCCTTTTTGCCCTACGCTATGCTCCCCAACTCAAGTTTACCATATTTTACGCCTACAACGTTTGCGTCATATGATCGTAGTCAGTGGTATCACCCCTATCATTTGGTTGTGTAAGCGGGGCATTACATTCGATTAGGCTGTTAAATAGCAAGCAAACGGCTTACATGTTCCATTATATTGAGACGTGAGATATATGTGGTGATGATCACTCTAAGGTATGCACAGGAGCCCTTGGTATGCATTTTCGGCTGCATGGGGCAAGAAATGTCTAAGCTCCACCAATACAACACAAGTTACATTAAATTTAAAAATTTATTCTTTTAAAAATATTTATAATGTTATAAATAGTATTTAATGTTTCAATTAAACCATGAGATAATCAATAGAAAATAACAAAGTGTCCAAATTGGAGAATTGAAATATTAAAGATAAAAGGAATTGGAATATTTCAACAATTTTAATTAAAGATAAAAGGCAAGAAAAATAAATAAATAAATATCGCCCACAGTATACCATGTCCGCAGCAGATTCTGGCCCCACAGCTTACGCTTTCTTATCCAAAAAGGAAAAAGTCCAACGCACCCTTCCAATCCCCGTCCACGTCACCCACGTGTACCCAATCACATCACGCCAATCCAACGCTCCAGAACACGTCGACAGAATTATCTGACGTCACGGCCCCTTGATATTTTCTCTCTATATAAAACACAAAATCTAACCATTAATAAATAAATAATCAAATTCCATCCTTATCTATTTTTTGTTCATCTTCTTCCTCACAATTGCTCTCGATTTCTGCAACAAGCGATGGAATCATCCCTTCTCCGTTCTGCTTCATCTCCTTTACTTCTCGAATCCACGGATCTTCTTCGCCGGATCGGATCCGTTTCCTCTCCGAGATTTCCTTCTACCGTTGTTCGTTGTTCTTCCAGAAGCCATGCTTCTATTCCGAAGCTCGAGCCGTTTAGTCGCACGAAGCTTGATCGCGCCATCAAAGATCCGCCTCTGGTTGAGAAGTCCGAGAACGAGCTTGCAGGTTTGCTATTGATTTCAGAGGAAGTTGTTTTGACATGGAATCATTTTTGTGTTTCTGATCCTTTGCGATTTCTTGTTTTCTGTTTGGTCTGGTTTAGATTACTGCTCGACATTGGATGGAGACGATTCATATAGCTGTTGGAAAGCGTATTTCGAGCTCAAAGATCTTGAAGTGAGTTTCTAGGGATTCTCGATTGATTTTCGTTCCAGATTTTCTGTTATTTCGCGTTTGATTTCCCGTTTCCCCCAAATCCGATGAATTCTAGACCTAATTTTAAACGAGAGAGGAAACATGCGAATTAATTAATCAACGAACTAATTAATCGCTGTGTGTGTGTTTTCAGAAAGAGTCGCCTAAACAAGAAGTGGAGAAACTGATTCTTCAAGCAGGAGGCGTGAAATCGCTGATCGGACTCTTACACGGCATCGCGGGCATACACAAGAGGAAGGAAAGCGAAAACGAGGCGAAGAAGCCATTGAACCGCGTGGAAAGAAGAGTGAGAGATTGTCCAATACCAGATGGATTGCCGAAATCCGCAGAGGAAATTGAAGAAGAAGAAGGAGCGAGAATGCCGGATTCACCATTTACGAGATTGCTGAGGAGCAAAGGTACATTCCCTGCCTGGTACACCCCTGCACCCGATCACGAAACAGATTGAACAAAAATACATGATCTGTTCTATGAAAATCAGTAATGGTTTTGGCAGATCGAATAGCGTAGTAAAAATTTGTTATATAAAATTAGTGATTAGGAGACATCCTTCAGTATATGTGATTTGATGTGTGTTCTGTTTGATTGTATATTTTACCTAGAAATGTCTGCTGAAGAATATGATTGAACAGAATGTTTGAATCTCATTCCTGAACATTTCTTCAATAAATACCTAAATTTTGCTAATACATATAGGATAAATTAATAAAATTACTTCTACATTTTGTAATTTTTTAAATTATATTTTCGATCAATTGAGTGACCATTTTATGAAATAATTGTGTGATAAAATAGTTTGTTTTTTCTTTTTCTATATACTATATATTTTTCTAACAAATTACATTTATATCTAACCTATTTCAAAATTAGAGCATGCTAAACTTATATTTTCATAGCATGCTAAGCTCATATTTTCTTCATCGACCGTGTTGGAAATAAAAAATACTAAATATGCAACACCCCCTCATAGACAACGAAATATTTAAAACTAGAAACATTTTCAAAATATTTCTATAAACCTCCAAGAAAACATGTTTTATTTAAAACATTAACTACATAAACCGATCCATGGATTCTCAAAAATCATCTCTAGTCGGTCTTGCCCTAGACTTGTATCATCTAAATCTGGAAAGTAAAGTTATAATAATTTTGATGAATAATTAAATTACCAAGTAGCTAACTTATCTTTCACGAAAGTTTTATTTGACTCTTAGTTCCTCTTACCAAGGTTACTCTGACTCTCTCTCTATGCTTATCTAGAATTTTCGGACTTATGTAAGACTCGCTCTTGGTCAAATACGGTCCGTCTACTAATTTCTTTGGCGGCCTGTTCATCTCATATACCAACGGTCGGAAGTACTCATTTTCTCTGACCAAGCACTGAGTGCTTGGCCAGGAACTCCGCAGGAATTAGTAGAGTACAATACTCGTATAAATAGGCCATGGCCCAACCATCTATAAACATATCTTAGAGTCATAACCTTTTTTTTTAACATATTTAGGATACTCACATTTGATGCATGATTTCGTAAGTTTATAATGTTCGACACAGAACATTTTAGTAATCATTTATAACATGTTTTCATCACAAGCAAACAATCACAATATAGAAATAAATATTAAATATCATGAAAGTTCATATTAACATATTAAGCTGTTAATTATGTAGACAAGATACTCACATGTTGTAAGACAAGTTAAGAACTCGTTTAAAGAATGATATGCTACTTAGTTGGTTTCGAATCCTTTTTTTCCCTTGGATGTACATTTAATAGGGTATTTCAACCCAATTATTCCTATTAGACCTATATTCACAATTTTCAAGATAAGTATAGACCAATCTTAATAGGACAGGTCAAAAGGAGTCAAACGGGACAAACCGGGAGCCAAAACAATGACGCACACGCCCTCACGTGCCCCCACTCTCTCTGTCAGCAGAATTCACGCACCAACTGATCATCCAATCGCACGCCTAATCGCGAATACTCACACGCCCTTTCTTCTTCCTTGCGATTTCCTTCGTATAAACATAGAAACAAATCGAGTCAACCTAACCAACTTCACCCCTCTTAATAGAAACATACATTTAGATTTAACCAAAATGAACTATAAATTTGGTAAAGGGCCCAAAACCCTCCAAAAACTTTGATATTTGGCCCACTGTTCTTGATATCGGAACGGTTCATCGAGAGCTAAGATCTAAACCCGGTAAAGTTAGCTTTCAAACTCGAACATAGGTCAATAGATAAACTATCGTTAACTATCTTAAAAACGTCGACATAGTTTAATGGTTACTAGCAAAACGTAACTTTGTTAGTAATGTTTAACGAGCATGCTCTCTTTATCATTTATTCATTTATGTAGTTCAATAATTATAGGGTGGAGATGAACATAAATCTAGTTTACGTGAATAATTTAAAAACGACACCTACCCTTTTGAAAGCTTAAGGATATTTGAAAGTTAAAGGTATTTTTGAAACCCTTTTCAAAGCACAATGATATTTCGAAATAAAATGTTAACGGTTTTCATCCAAAACTAATAATAAGAATATTTTCTGAAACCTCTTTTTGAAAGTTTAAGGACATTATCAATTTTTTTTTAAAAAAAAAAAATTAAAGATATTTCGAGACAAGATACAAAGTTTAAGCATATTTTTATTAATTTAACTAAGTAAAAATCTTTCATATAATTCTTCTATATAAATTTGAAATACTATCTCTGTCTCGTAATAATTATTTCATACAAATTCAAAATATAAGTTTTAAAATTTTATTTATATAATTAATGAAATAAAATTGTCAACAATGTCTCAAAATACAATTACAAAAATATATCAAAGAAAGCAACGAGGAACATTGAACCATGGGAGACGAGGGCGACTTTGCCTATAGGTTGGACCATCCCACAAGCCGAAGTCCTTCCATAGCAAGAGATAGACAAGGCATCATTCTCGTTATCGTCGTACGAAACCAAGAAAGGGAAGAAAGCTAGCGTAGGAGGAAAGACAAGGCTCATGGACTACGACTCCACGAAAGAGTTACCTTTGTATACAAAGGGAATGGGGGCGCCATACTAGAGGTGCAACGACTTTCAAGCTTGATAAATAAGCCTTTCGTAAAAAAAAAAAAAAGGTGAGTTAGGGACTCACGTTACTTGGCTTAGTATCATAACTCAACTCACAATGTGACTGTGCTTTGAGAAAGTCCCTCAGCTGCATACATCACTGCACTTCCACTTGACACCTATCGTGATGATAAACGACTCATCTCGCCGTGACCTTCTCTTGAATTCTCAAAACTTCTGTCACTCTATCTCTACAGGGGTAGAGAACCCATCACTATCTCGACTATGCTCCCGAAGGCTCTGGAGAAGTCGGAATAGGAGAGCACTCATCTTGGGTGGGTTTACTACTTAGATGCTCGATGACTAATTTATATGGGGGAGAATGTCACACACATACTATGAAGAGAGTAGGTTATGACCCTCACGTCGAGACGAGTAAAGCAGCGCTCATTCGGCCACACGATGATCAATATAAAAAAAAAAAAAAATTGTCATGATGAGACGTTTGAATTTTTTTTTATTTGCTAACCATTTTGTTTTGAAAATTGACAGAAACTAACGTGTTTCTTTAAGAAAAATAAAGACGATAACAAAATTGTAAGAAAACAAACATACATTTGAGAGACAAAAAACTAAAAATAAAATTGCAATGAAATGTCGTTCAAATAATTGTTAAATGAAGTTTGTTATTCAATTCGATGTAGCTCCGACCCTAACGTATTTATTATTGTCCCATCAATCTTGAGGTCTTCCTCAAGGTGGTCCACTTTCTTCCTACCTATTAGGTTTGCGTGTTCGAGACCTATCTCTTCCCATAAATGAGAGACTACGATTAGGTAATTGTCTGACGCAATATAAATTTTATAGGTAGGTGAGAGACAACTTAGCGAATTGAAACATCTTAATAGTCAGATAAAAAAATGAAGAAGCAATTCTCGTAGTAGAATTGAGTAAAACGAGAACATACTAAATCGTGAAAACAAAAGAAGCAATTCTCATAGTACCAACTACCGAACTGAGAATAGACCGAACCATAAAAACAAAAAATGTGATTCTCGTAGTAGTAGCACCTAGTGAACTGAGAATATACCGAACAGCGAAAAGAAAATAAGTAGAGGTATTCATGAGTTGAATTGGATTGAGTTAGTTCGAGCTGTTTTTGTTAGTTTATTCAAATTTTTTTAAAAACAATTATTTTTGAAACAAAATATTTCCATCCATCACTAACCCAAAAAAATATTTTTGAAAATTTTAAAAGTTATTTTTGAAATAATGACGTATAATTTTGTTAATTTAACCAAAACTAATAAACCACTAGTTTCGAAAAGACTTAAAAAGTTAGATGAGGAAACATTTAAGTACGAGAATGACATTTTAGGCTATATTGAAGGCTTGTCGAACAAAATTTATGAGAGATTGGTCCACTTCGACGTGGTCCAAAGTGCATATTATATTCTTTGCGTGTTCATGTCATGTTTCTGTCACGAACTAAATGGCAATGGAAAATAACTAAATTATAACTATAAAGATTGGATTGAGTTAGATTTTTTCTGAGTTCGGGTCGGTTTGTGAGTTGACATTTTTTATTTAGATCTGACCATTCTGAAAATAGGGTTATTATTAAATCTTATCCTACTTTTAAAATTATTATTACCCGTAAAAGATATCATTATTGAATTAATTTATGCACATAAACAACTCAAAATGATAGAATAAATGATATTTAGAATTTAAATTAAATACATTACTAATTAGTTATTGATAATATTTTTAATCAACTTAAAATAAATTTTTATTTATATTAAAGACAATATTTTATAAAAATTATTTTCTAGACATTTTAATTCATTTTTACTGTTTGAATTTTAAAAAAAAACTCAAGATAATAATAATAATAATTAATAAAAAAAATTTATTGGAAAATTTTCTTTTTTTTCTTTCTAGTTTTAATTAAACTCAAACTAATAATAATTATTATAAACTCAAAAAAAAAAAACCTATTTATATATTTTATTTATTGAAATAGTGAGGAGAATGCATACATGAACAAAGCATAAACTTTATATATTTAAAAAAAATAAAAAATAGAAGGCTACCTAACAAAATCAGGAAAGAGTAGGATAAGAGTCGGGTTGGAACTCAGGTGTGCAGAGGACGAGATGAGAGGCATCGACATGAATGGTGAATAGAACGACCTCGCAATCCTTATTATAAACTTCGCTGCCATTTTCAACAACTTCAAACATATTCCCGCCTTCTGAACCACCGACATACTCCTTCTCCTTTTTCTTCTGCTTGTCGTCTCTCTTCTTTGCTCCTCTATTTATTTTGAAATTTTGGACGACATTTGTCATTTCCCTTATCCCGAAGAGAAGGGGTGTGAGATTAATACGCAATAAATATAAATAATATATATATATATATATATATATATATATAGATATTTGTCTCGAATTTCATATTTATTATGTTTTTGTAATAGCAGTTCATGAGCGGATAGTTTTGGCCTGTTACTTGTTGTCGTCAATCTCACGATTTTAAAACTAGTCTAGTTAGGGAGAGGTCTCACATTTTTATTTTAGTTAATAAATTAAATCAGTCGATTTGAAAATTTAAAATTTCATTTATTATTATATAAAACTTGCAATAGTCTTCTCAGACTTTTATTAAACAATAATTACTCCTAATTTAACCTATTGAACAAATTATAAATGAGATATTTAAATAAATTTAAAAGTTTTAAATTATAAATGAGATATTTTTAAAAAATTAGGAATTAAAATAAATTTACGTGTCACAAAATGACAAAATTTATTTAAATGGGTTTGTCAATAATACAATACAATATTTATTATTATTAGTTGACGTCTCAGCCAGGAAAAAGCATGGTTTTGGATATTTTTGGAAGATTTTTTTATTACACCATATTTGTATTTTTCGGTTTACGAAGATTATTCGTTTATTTATTAATGCAATATATACACATGAATAATGTTAATGTGATATGAAAAGAGTAATAAATGGAAATATACTTATGGTAAGAAGTCAAATATCTAGATATTTGCCTTATAATAAAATATCAAATATGACATATATAGTAAATTATAATTTATTACTAAATATCCTTTAACATACATGATTATTTTAACTTAGAGTTTAAATTCTTATAAATTTATGAGTATTTATGTATATATCTTAGTGTAAGATATCTGTGTGACTTCGATTTACTAAAAAATATTTGTGTGGCTCGGTTTACTAAAGATTATTTATCTTTTAATGCAAGATATATACATGATTTTATTTGATAAAAACTCATCTAACTAGATAAATATGTCGAGATTATTTTAAGCTAGAGTTTAAACTCTACCAAATTACGAGCATGCACGTGCGTTGAATTACAGATTTTCTAAATTCATTTAAAGAGTTATTTTGATATTTTTATTTTTATTTTTTATTTTTTATTGTCATTTTCAAAGGTATAAATGTAGATTAAATAGTCATTTTCATCGGATATTTGTTTTAAATTATTCTCTAATTTTGATTTATTGTTGTGCAATTATTATGAATTTTTTTTAAATAATTACACCATAATTTTTACAGGGGTATTTTGGTCATTTGATAAATTCTAATTAAAATTTGAATACATAGAAAATGTTATCCAAATTTCAATAAATAGAGTATTTTCAACTATTTTATTATATTATTTAATTTTAATTAAATGTTGTCAATATAAAATTTAGTAAATAGGCAATTCAATTATTTTCTAATTTTTTTGTGTCATAATAAATTAAATATATATTTAAAAAATTATTAATGATAATTAGTTTTTAATAGTTCATTTAAATTAGAATTAAACTAAACCCCATATAAAAAATCACATTTTTTAAAGGTTGCAAACATTTATTTAATTAATTAAGGTTAAAAAAAATAAATATATAAAAATGGATAGGTATTAATAGTTCGTGTTAAATTATGATATGCAAACATTTTTTGGGCAAGTTGTAAGTTCACTCCATTTGATCTAAATTATAAGTCGGTGAAAACTAATGATGAAGGTTATCTAGAACACTCGAGAATTGTTAGAAATAGGAAGATCGACGAGATACACTACTAATTCGATCTTGCTTGTCGAGTGATTCGAGTCTCAAACAAATGTTTTTGCCTTGAGATATTTGATGATCCAGTGCTACATGTGTTACAAGTGACTTAATCTAAACACGCATCCAAGACTTCATATGTTCTTAGCGATACGGTCTGAAAATTGAGAAATGAAATAAAATTATAGAGTTTAAATTGTTAGATGAACACGACTCTCCACAATGGTGTCATATTCTAGAGCTAATACGTGCAACAAACCCCGACTTATGGAAGGGTCGATGTGGGCTCTGCCCGTTGCTCTGATACCATGTTAGATGAACACGACTCTCCACAGATATTGTCCACTTTTGAATATAAGCTCTGATGATTTTACTTTGGGTTTTACTAAAAGGTTTCAGACCAATAGAGATAATATTATTTGATTTTAAACCGATGATCATTCTCTAAATTAGTGGATGTGAGACTTTCATCGGACATAAATAATAAAATAAAATAATTTAATTGTTAAACAAAATTTTAAATAGAAAGAAAAAAAAAAAGAATCAAAATTATCTAATGATTTAAAAAGGAGTGAAGAAGAAATGAAATAAAATACGTTGAAGTGAATCTCTCCATATCAGATCCTTTTTTTTCTTTCTCCTCCCAAATTCTTCGATCTCTCACTGTGTAGTATATTAACGTAACCACCTCCATCCTGTTTTAATTTTCTTGTTTTTTTCAATTTTTCTCTCAGCTTTTGATCCATAAATTCAAACGAAGAAGATCTGGGTTCTCTTGAGAACACGAAGATCAACAATGGTTTTGCTTCAATCTGAACTCAGTTTGGATTTTAGACCTACGTTTGTGCCCAAAACGCTCACCGATTTCTTCAAAGAGGTTTCCATGATCGGAAATGTGCACGACAGGGTTTCGAAGCTCAACGATTTCGTCAAAAGTTTGGAGGATGAAATGAGGAAGATCGATGCCTTCAAACGGGAGCTTCCTCTCTGTATGATTCTCTTGAAAGACGGTGAGTTCTTCTTTTGAAATTATAGGTTTCAATTCCTAATGAGATGAATTTGAAATTATACCTAAACAGAGGTTTATTTCTTAGATTTGGGATTTTGTGGAATTTCTTTGAATCAATTGAAATTCCAACGTGTAAATCGATTCTTAGGGCTGTTGATGTTTGTGTTTCAGCCATTTTAGCTGTGAAGGAGGAGTCATTGCTATGTGTAGTTCCCAAACCCCAACCGGTTTTGGAAGAGTTCATACCTATGAAGAAAGAATGCTATGAAGAAGAACAAGAAGATCAGAAAAATTGGATGAGTTCTGTTCAGCTTTGGAAGTCCGATCGGAAACGAGATTCCAAATTCGAAACTAAGGTATAAGAATTTCTCCTATAATTGTCGAACTTGATCTTGTTATTGATCTTGTTATCTGCTTGATAATCAGTTTAGAATTTGGTGTACTCTTTCTTGTTTGGATGATCACAGAGAAATGAAAAAGTAGGCCTAGTGACTTGTAGAAATAAGAATGGAGAGAGGATCCATGTACCATTTAAGGAATTTCCTATTCATGCGCTTTCTCTTTGCACTCCGGGAATCAAAAATCCGATAGAGGAATCCGCTTCGAGTGGTACTCGAGTTGTTTCATCTTCCACTCTGAGTTCTCTTGTGAATTTAAGAACCGGAATGCAGCAGCAGAAACAGCAGTCGTCTCGTAAACAGCGGAGATGCTGGTCACAAGAGTTGCATCGATGTTTCGTTAGCGCATTGCAGCAACTCGGGGGATCTCATGGTAAGATATGAAGTTTATGTTTAACCACCAATATGTCTAAATGATTGTTGTCTTCAAAATCATGAACAACTATAGACCTTAATCAACATGGTTAAGTAAAATGCTACTATATGTGATACCAAGAACGACGATGTCGGTCGTTGGTATCAATTTTCCGACTCAAAGTGATGGAGATTCTCGGGTTTGATTTGAAACTTTTGTTATCTTTTCCAGTGGCGACACCGAAGCAGATTAGAGAACTAATGCAGGTAGATGGTCTCACCAATGATGAAGTGAAGAGCCATCTGCAGGCAAGCTCCAAGGCTTACTTTTAATGTCTTTTCTCTTTGATTCTGTGATGAACTATTAAACATATTGTTTTCGTAACGTTTCGTGTCACATACGTCAATGAAACTAACGACATCTTTTGCTGAATCCAGAAATACCGACTCCACACAAGAAAACATCCAGTATCTGCAGTCACCCCTGCAAACCGATCCGTAGTTGTTCTTGGAGGATTATTGGTGCCTCGAGTTCAGTACGGTGATTCGTCAATGGCGTGTAGTTCTCAAGCTGGCTCACCACAAGGTCCTCTTCAGTTAGCAGGGACAGGGGAGACGTCGACCACAGGGGAGAACAGCACGGAGGACGACGACGAGGATGATGCAAAATCCGAGAGCTACTGCTGGAAGAGCCGAATTCAAAATCCGGGGATCGAAGATGCGTAAGGTGTTTTCTTCCCACCATGATTTTGAAAATAAGAAGATATACATTGGAGGTATATATATCCTTTGAGTAGATTACACTTCTGTTTATTACTCATAAAAATGGTACAAAATATTTGTAGGAAAGCCATGTTTATGTGTGAAGAAACCAAACCAAAAACTGGTGATTTTTTATATATACCATCAGTTTGTTTGCCCTGAAACTTTCCTGAGGCTCATAAATTTTCTTTCGAAGTTCATGTGAATAGTTCGGAATTTTTGTTTCAAAACTCCGATATTATTTCAAAAGTTGATTGTTTTGTCGGGAAAAACCTGTTATTGTGAGGTTTTCATTTTATTTTCGTTTCCTCGTTTTCATTCATTTGTTTAATATATATATATATATATGAAATAAAAGTGTTATCGTGAGTAAAGACCTATCTGGGATGAAAGCATGTAAAAGGGGTTTGGAACGGACATCCAACTATGGACAACACATCCTGGACAAGAAAGACCGAGATATTTGTCATGCGATCATTGACAACATGCCTTGGACAAGAAAGACCGATTATTTTTTTTTTTAATGTGTCGAATATATATTCAAGCTTTTATTATTTTATTATATACTTTTTCAACTCTTGAACTTTAATAATCATTACTGTTTTTACTTAGCATCTAATTAAATTGATAATTGAATACTAATTATGAATATTCAAGAATAATTATTTATGCATCTCCAATGGTTCGAGATTTTTTTTTTTTTTTTTTAAATAAATTATATGATCGGTCGTTTTCTTTCGCCTAAATGATTTGACTAACCGACAATTGACTCTATTTAAGTTACACAAAGACCAACACTTGTTGAATTGGTTTTGGGCAGTTGGGTCGATTTGAGACTTATTTTGTGCACTCGTAAATAATACTGGCAGAAATCAATTAAGTTTTTGGAGAGATATATAAATAAACCGGAGAGGAAAAAACAAATATATCCCGTTTGAGGTAGGAATTCATACTTTCAGATTCTCGGGGTCTTCTTTGAAAATTTTGCTATACAAATGAACTTCCGTCGTTTATCGAATGGACTCCATTACGAGTACCTTATTGATCGTAAAGGTAACTTAGTAGCTCATGAACTAACTTCCTATGCTAACGTTATAAAGTGACCGTTTTTCTCGAAGATCATCCACTACGAGTGCCTTTCACTCTCAATTCCCTTCAAACCTCTAATGCTATTCATTATTATTTTAATTCGCTTATATATATTATTTATTAATGAATAATTACTATTTTACAGCCTAAAATTGTCCGACATTTTGTACGCTCCCAATTCTATTTAAAATATCAAATTCTATCATACATTTAAAAAGTTGTCGAGAGCTCGGTTAACAGTCGAGCAATCAAGGCTTACCCTAATATCAGTTCACTCATAATTAGTGTTCACATAAGCAAGACGGTTCGATATTTTACAATGTTCAAGCAGCCAATGTTCTTGTCAGATTCAATTGGATGGTCACACTTTTTCAAGAACGGGTTTTCCCTCAATTTGAAAACCAACGTACTCCTTATTGCACGAGCCGGGTTACCAAACGTCACGATATATATATATATATATATATTTTTTTTTTTTTTTGCATTATTTATTTATTTATTTAATGTTAGGAAAAATGGGGTAGTAGTGTAAACTTCTGCGTGCGCATCGCACGACACCACGAACAAATGCATTTAAAATTCGAGAGAGGGTTGGTTACATATTTAGAAATAAATAGCGGGTGAGAGACCCTTTGTAGCAGAGAAAAACAAAAAAGGGGGGAAAAAGAAACACACCCTTCTTCTTCGCCTTCTCCAAGAACCAAAGAACACTCTAGAATCTGAACCAGAGCCACCACCATGTCCAAGCCAAGGTGCTTCTTAGACATCACCATAGGCGGAGAGCTTGAAGGTAGAATCGTCATCGAGCTCTATGACGATGTCGTTCCTAAAACCGCCGAGAATTTCAGGGCGCTTTGCACTGGCGAGAAAGGCATTGCTCCTAACACCGGCGTTCCTCTCCATTTCAAGGTCCTTACACAACACACGTCTTTTTTCTCTTTCTGTTTTCTTTTTTTTTTATTATTTTTGTTCGATTGCATATTAGTTTTTTTTTTGGGAGTTGAAGCGTGTTTGTTTATGAGAGATGAAGCAAGGACTTGTAGTTCTGATGATTTTGTTGCTTGGTGTTCGTCGGTCGAAGTGTTTGTTTCCGAGATTTGAGGGGACTTTTGCTTTTGGCTTTAATAGATAGTGATATCCTCGGTAAATGTTGGATTATTATTGCTTCTTTTTTTTTTCTTCCTGCTTTTGAGACTTTTTCGTCGTAGTACGTTCCTAACCTGCGTTTGCCTACTTTCTTATAGGTTAACGACCGTCCTGCTTTCCTTTTACTTTGCCTATCTGTTGTTCAATGGATTTGGATGTTGATTCCGTCGAACAATACGTAACTGAATAAAGAAAAGATAATTACGAAGTCGCCATTAACTTTTTCTGGCCTTCGGTTGTGAAATTTGTGCTTGAGGCTTAAGATTTGGCGGAGGGTTATGCTTTTGTAGATACTATCTTTATGTCTGAACTTAAAGAAAAGGCATACTGTCTTTTCTAGCAGGGATTTCTTCTGTTTGTGAATTGATAGGAGATGAACACTTTGTTTCCCTGTATTATTTCATGTATAAATGGAAAACGAATAAAGAAAATGGAAATTGAAGGTCGCTCTTCTGAAACTTTATTCATAAGACTGCTATGAAAAAGTTTGACGTTACTAGAGTGATTGATATCTTCTGGGAAAAAGTGATCGCTAATGATAAATCACACTGGGATGAGTTAAACTACATTAAAGTTTCCTTGTGTTATAGCATATCTTCTTTTGATTTGATTTCTATGGTGAAAAGCACCTTCAACCTAACATTTTTAGTGGCCTGCCGAGATGTAAGTGTCTGAGAAAAACCTTTCTCATTTCACTTAGTGCTATGAAAGGCACTAAAGCACAACAGTCCTGTGAGCCTTAAGCACAAAAGGTAGAAAAAGAAAAAAAATAACTGCAGACTTCTTTTTAATGAGCTAATAATTTTTCTTAATACATGAAACAAAAAGTATTATGAATAAGGTAAAGAAAAATGTAAGGAATTAAAGCTCTTAAGTTCTAAGTTGCAATTGAGTAGAGAAATGAATATTTGAAGCACCGAGGTGCATGCCTCTAGAATTGAGGTGCCTAATGTGGGCTCGCCGAGGCACTTTTCCAAACAGTATGCAAGGCTAAGGACCATTATAGTCATAGCATCACTCAGGTGCATCAGGCCGAAGAAAACTTGGAATACTTGTTTTTTTGTTTACATCTTTAATTGGAATGTCAGGTGATGTTTGATAAAATATTTCCAAGTTCAGTGAGAAATATTGAAATGAAACATATTTTGTAAGCTGCTGTCATATTTACTAATGATGCATATGCATTTTTGTAAAATGAATATATGATACCATCATTTGGATCATCAGGTCCCTGCAATGCTTCCAAAATTTTTACAAATTTCCGAAATATAGTTCGGTTCACAAGGTTTAGGTGGTTACTCAAATCTTATGCCTGTTTCTTACTGTGTGATAAATATGTTTTTATACTATCTATTATCGTTGCGAACACCTATGGTAGACTATTAGATTTCTTCTATTTACTTAAACTTGAAAGAAAGAAAGTTTTTGTGTTTCAAAATATTATTGTTACCATGGAGATTTTCTTGCTGACACTTTCGTTGATTCTCTTGTACACACTGTTACAATGGAAATTATATGAATGAATATATTTTTTGTAAATATTATCTACCTCATGCACACTTTTTGTGGCTTTACTTTGTATATTCTGGTTGGTTAATGAGGCTTGACACACAGGTTTGTTGCATTTTCTAGAATGCACAACTTCATTTTGCTCCAAACACGATTATGTAGAGTTCGTTTTCCAGTATTTGAAGCCACAATTGTTTAAAATTTTAGGGTGTCTGCTTTCATCGTGTAATCAAAGGATTTATGATTCAAGGTGGGGATATTTCCGCCGGCGATGGTTCTGGGGGAGAATCTATTTATGGTTTGAAGTTTGAAGATGAAAATTTTGAACTGAAACATGAAAGGAAAGGAATGTTGTCTATGGCTAATTCTGGTCCCAACACAAATGGGTCTCAATTCTTCATAACAACAACACGTACACCTCATTTGGATGGAAATCATGTGGTCTTTGGGAAGGTGGTGAAAGGAATGGGAGTAGTTCGCTCAATTGAACATGTCTTAACTGGTGAGAATGATCGTCCAACTCTTGATGTTGTAATCAAGGATTGTGGAGAAATCCCTGAAGGGACAGATGATGGAGTATCAAATTTGTTCAAAGATGGTGATGCCTATCCTGATTGGCCAGCTGATCTTGACCAGAGTCCTTTTGAACTTTCTTGGTGGATGAGTGCTGTGGATTCTATTAAGGCTTTTGGTAATGAACATTTTAAGGTAAAATCTATTATAAAGGTTCTTTGAAGTCTAATGACAAATTTTTTTTGTACTTCGTCAGTTATTATCATCAATTCACTTATTAGTTATCTTCAAAATTTCACTTTATTTTACTTCCATTTTTAATAACAAAATATTGAATAAAATTCATAGAAACAAGATTACAAGATGGCTCTCAGAAAGTACAGGAAGGCTTTGCGGTATCTTGACATTTGCTGGGAGAGAGAAGGGATTGATGAAGGTAAACTCTTCATTTACCTACATTACTTGCGTTTATGGAATCCATACACTAGTTAGACATTGTTCAGATCTTTGATCTTTTATGTTCTTAACAGAGAAGAGTTCATGTCTGAGGAAGACCAAATCACAAATATTTACAAACAGCTCTGTAAGTTTTCATCAAGTACTTAGTGACGAAATTTTATTTTGTATATATTCATAAATGTTCCCTCATACAAAGATGATGCCATTTTTAAGAATCTCAAGGAAGAAGGTTGAAATAAGCATTACATTTCATATGGAAATGATTATTCAAATTAATTGTTTGTTTGGCGTATTTTGTGCTGATGAAATTATTTTCATTGTTATTAGTCTCTGGGAACTTCAAAACCCCTTATACTCTTTGCTTGGTACAAAGTTGGGATGCAGTGGCGTGTGTTTATTCTTTCTTTTATGTTTTATTGTTTATGCATTAAGGTGAAGAGCTTTTTCGCTTAAAGGCAAAATTGTTGCACACCACCTATCGTCCTAGAGAATATAGTAAAGTAGACATTTTAATTTAGTCTAAAGCACTTAAATAGTGTTATCACTATATTATTATTTTTGGACTCGACAATTGCTAGGGTGGAGGATTGAACCATTAGATCTTTGGAACGAAAATTGATGTTTTATTGAGTAAACTATACTTGGATTGACTACAGGTTTTTGTTTAGTACGTTTCATCGATACTATTATCTTTTTAAGATTTAGTGAAAGAAAAGCAAAAAATTGTTTAATTCACTGAGGTACAAGAGGTGTAACAGAAAGCTGAGTATACAGAATGCCTTGGGTGGTCATCGTGGCCAACTGTTTGGTGCAACTGGCATGTTTGAGATGCTCCATATTTTAGTGTAGTCATGTTATCCTTTCGTCTATTGTAGGCTTGTAAACTGAAGTTAGGGGATCTAAAGGGAGCATTGTTGGACACTGAATTTGCAATCCGTGAAGGAGAGAACAATGCAAAAGCCATGTTCCGCCAAGGTCAGGTTGGTATCATCTTTCATTGATGAATTAGTGAATAAGAGATGGTTTGGAATATCTTAATGGTTCTTTTAATTACAATTCAAAGACATAGCTGTACAACCTATCTAGTTCAAGTAAGGTCATAATTACTCGTACGTTTATGTTTGTTTGACTAACCTTGTCACCTATCAGGCACATATGGCTCTTAATGACATTGATGCTGCTGTTGAAAACTTTAAGAAGGCATTGGATTTGGAGCCAAATGATGGTGAGTCATGATTACTTCATTTGGTTTATTTCCTTGCCTGAGATATTATTCCCCCATTTTCCTTGTTTTCCTTTGAGTTGGAAGCTGGTATAGTTTACTGGTTTATATCTTGGTCCGGAATGTCACATCCATTAGTAAGGAAGCAGAGATACACGAGACATGTACATGATAGCTAGGAACACTAAATCTCAGTCTCTCTCTCTCTCAAAAAAAAAAAAAAAAAAAAAAAAAACCCCAAAACATTATTTTCCAACATCTTATGGACTATTGATTTTTTATCTTATCTCTGTTTCTTATTTTTTCAGCTGGAATAAAGAAAGAGCTGGCTGCTGCTAAGAAAAAGGTTGGTACCCAGCAATCTTTTATATTATGTTTGCAAGAATATATGGGACTAATTCTTGTGTACAGGTTGCTGATAGACGTAATCAAGAGAGGAAAGCATATGGCAGGATGTTCCAATAGGAATTTGCTCTCCAATGGTACACACTTGTAAGTTTTTTATAAACTTGTTTGAATAAGAAAAAAAAAATAGTACGTGTTGGATGATGAAAGTCCCACATCGGCTAATTTAGGGAATGATCATGGGTTTATAATCAAGGAATACTCTCTTCATTGGTATGAGGCCTTTTAGAGAAGCCCAAAGCAAAGCCATGAGAGCTTATGCTCAAAGTGGACAATATCATACCATTGTGGAGAGTCGTGTTCATCTAACATAGTATGAGAGCCATGCCCTAAACTTAGTCATGCCAATAGATTGGTAAATCCTCAAATGTCGAACGAAGGACTCCAAAACTAAAGGAGTCGAACCTCTTCAAAGGCATGGTCAAAAAATGACTACGACTCCAAAAGAAAAAGGAGTCGAGCCTCGAAGGGGAGGCGTACTTTGTTCGAGGGGAGGTGTTGGATGATGAAAGTCCCACGTCGGCTAATTTAAGGAATAATCATGGGTTTATAATCAAGAAAAGTTCTCCCCATTGGTATGAGCCCTTTTGGGGAAGTCCAAAGCAAAAGCAGGAGAGCTTATGCTCAAAGTGGACAATATTATACTATTGTGGAGAGTCGTGTTCGTCTAACAGTACGAACACTTGGTTAATCATCTTTTTAAAGAAAAAAACTTTGGCTTCATTTCAGGTTTTGTTTTGGAGCGAGACGAAGAGAAATTGAGATCCAGGTTGTAGTGGCTAGTTCAACTATACAAAACTGCATTTGGAGAGCGGGGTATAGAATGGTCAATTTTTGGGATGGTAATTGGTGTCTTACCTATTGAACTAGACTAAGATTAACCCTCTTTAAAGAAGAAAATATATCGACAAACAGGTAGCTTTTAGTAATTTTGATATGGATATTTTGTTATGTTCAACTTTGGTGATAATATTTTGTTGGTATCATCTCGAGCTTCGATTCAAATGAAATGGATGGTTATTCATGACATTCATATAACTCCTCTTCGAGTAGGTTAATGATTTGTTAATGAACTCCTTGTAGTTGAAATTGGAAGACATGGAAATGGGTTGGTCGTTGGTGCCCTTCGACCCAAGGAAGGATAAAAGTCATAAATGGAAGAAAAAAAAAGATGGAAGGGTCGAAAAAGTTAAGGCTTTAAATCAGTCGGTGAAGCTTTAACAGAAATCAATAGATGGAATTGATAAATAATTTTATTTTTTTTTCAAAAAAAATTATTAGGGGATGGAAAACGTCATATTGGCATCATTAAAATGTCATGACATAATAAGTGGTATGTTTCAAAGGTGTATTTTGGTAAAAACACACTTTTTTATGGTTGAAATGTGCAATTTATTAACAGTTTGTTAGACCCATTTTCAATGGTAGAAAATTTGACATTTTTTAAAAACTTAATTTTTTGTTTTCCTTTTTAGTGGAGAAAGAACTTTAATTACCAACCCATTTCAGCTCCAATATTGTTCCTTAATTTTCTCGAGTGTGTATTAAAACTAAATTACAAGATTTTAACCTTTTTTTTTTTTTTAGTTATTTCTTTTAATTTCTAAAACTTAGCATAAATTTTATGATTTACTTTTTAGGAAAAATATTTGACTATTAACAAAAATATATATATATATATATATATATATATATATATATATATATATATATATAAACATTAATAAACTTACTAGTTTAAATAAATAAAGTTATGAAAAGAAATAAGTTTGAAAAATTATAGAGGTCAGAATTGGAAGACCGAAGTTGGGAAATAAAATTTAAAATTGAAACTATTTTGGTGATTGGTGATAATATAAAAACCCCATCAGCTCAAACATTGGCAACATCAAGAACTCATTCACTTAGGCTTTTGTGTTTCTTCTCTCTATCCAACCATGCCTTCAATATCTTCAAAACTACTCATTCTCTTCATTTGGGCATGCCTCTCAACTCTATCCTCTGCCAATCAGCCTTGGTTTTGGGCACATAATTGCTCTTCCCCTTTCAACCCTACCCACCACCCGTCTCCGCCACCACCTACATCACCAACCTCTCGAACACCGCCATCACAATCCCTACCACCATCACCACCAAGATCACGACGTCCTCGAACACCACCATCACAACAAATGCCATCACCACCACCACCATCACCACAACTGCCGCCGCCACCACCACCACCACGTTCACAACGTCCTCGAACACCACCACGTTCACGAGGTCCTCGCACACCACCATCACAACAATCATCGCCTCCACCACCACCACCAACCCCACCATCCCGAAAGATCATAGTAGGTGGCTCAGAGCATTGGCATCTCGGCTTCGACTATAATGATTGGGCACTTAAGAACGGTCCCTTCCATATAAATGACATCCTAGGTAACCCTTATTGATCACATTTTCAATGTTATTATAAGAATTTTTCATTCTCCAACTTACTTGGAAGTTATTGTTGGCAGTATTCAAATACGATCCTCCAAACAGTACAACTCCGGCTCACAGTGTCTATCAGCTCCCAAACATGAGAAGCTTCGTCAACTGTGATTTGGGAAAGGCCAAAATGCTTGCAAATTCAACACAAGGAAGTACTGAAAATGGCTTTGAATTTCAGCTCAAACACCAAAATCCTTACTACTTTGCTTGTGGAGAAGCCAATGGCTTCCATTGCCAAACTGGATCCATGAAGTTCACCCTAACACCCATACTTCAAGGTTGATATTACAACGTTGAGCTAAACTTAGTCAATACGGTCAAATAAGATTTCCCAATCGGAGAAGATGTATGTGGTCGATCTCCCTTTTTTTTTTTTTTTATCCGTTAAGTTCAACCTCTCAAGTCAGAGTTACACGAACCTCTTCACTTTTTGGTCGAAAATAATGACTTATTTAATTGAGTTATACTCAAGTTGATCTCTTCATCAACTTTTCAACTCAAGCGTATAGCATTTTCAAACATAGAGTACAAATGTGGTATTAGGGTGTTCACATGACGGTTAGATTTCTTTTTTTTTTTTTTTCAGTTTGGGTTGAGGTTAAATTTTTGAAAAACCAAAAAAGTTCAGTCGGTTGGCGGGTTGAAATTTTTTTTGTTAGGTCAACTCGACCAACCCAATGAACCCGAAAATACTTTTAAATATGAAAATTAAGAATATTTGGTGATATAGGATGGTTCAAAGTATAAATAAAAGTTCTTAGGAGGGGCCGAGCCCAGCATAAAATAGACGGACTGAGCCCAGCATAAAATAGACGGGCCGAGCCCAGCAGAAACTAGACGGGCCGAGCCCAGCAGAAAATAGACGAGCCGAGCTAAGAAGAAAATAGACGGGCCGAGCCCAGCAGAAAATAGACGAGTCAAGCCCAGCAGAAAATATAGGGCCGAGCCCAGAAAAAATAGACGGGCCGAGCCCAGAAGAAAATAGAGGGCTGAGCCCAGCATAAAATAGACGGGCCGAGCCCAATCCGATAGTTTATCCAGGCCCGTATGGTTTGGGCGGATTGAAAAAAACAGACTTGAAGAATCCCGATCTGGATTTTGCCCTTCCCCCAGTAGAAACCTCCATCTCCGGCGAGGAGGACGGCGTCAACAGCCATGGATCAATCCTTCTTACTGATGCTCTCAACTCTCCTCCACCTCCACAACTACCTCGATCCCACCATTACCCTTCTCCCTTCCACTCCCTCCTCCGCCTCCTCTCCTTCCTCCGCCTCCTTCAACTCTCCCACCTCCCTTCTTTCCTCCTCCTCCGCCGCCCCTCTCCTCTTCTTCACAATCGCCTCCGTCCTCTCCTTCATCGCCTCCTCTCGCTCCAACGCCTCCTCCTCCCCTTCCCGAACCTCCTCCACTACCCTTCCTCCCTCTTCCTCCGATTACTCCGTCTCCGCCTTCCGCGCCTTCTCCACCGACCACATTTGGTCCCTCGAAGCCCCTTTTCGCGATGCCCAATGGCGCTCCCTCTACGGCCTCTCTCACCCTGTCTTCACCACCATCGTCGACAAGCTCAAGCCCCATATTGCTCTCTCCAATCTCTCTCTCCCATCCGATTACGCCGTCGCTATGGTCCTCTCTCGCCTCTGCCACGGCCTCTCCGCTAAAACCGTCGCTGCTCGTTTCTCTCTCGAACCCTATCTTGTTTCCAAAATCACCAATATGGTCACCCGTCTTTTGGCCACCAAGCTTTATGCTGAGTTTATTAAGATTCCGGTAAGTCGCCGGCGTTTGATTGAGACCACTCAGGCTTTCGAGGAGTTGACTTCTCTCCCCAATATGTGTGGCGCCATTGATGGGAGTCCGATCAAGCTTCGTCGATTACCCCCTGACCAGAATTTTTCCACTAATTACAATTGTCGATTTGGGTATCCCTCGGTTCTGCTTCAAGTTGTTGCGGACAACAAGAAAATTTTCTGGGATGTGTGTGTTAAAGCTCCTGGTGGTAGTGACGATGCCAGCCATTTTAGGGATAGTCTTATGTACCATAGGCTTACTTCTGGTGATGTTGTTTGGGATAACGTAATTAACGTTAGGGGTCACCATGTTCGACCTTACATTGTGGGTGATTGGGGATATCCTCTGTTGTCTTTCCTGTTGACACCATTTTCGCCGAATGGCATCGGCACGCCTGCACAGAACCTGTTTGATGGAATGCTGATGAAGGGTAGGTCTGTGGTGGTTGATGCTATTGGGTTGCTTAAAGCTAGGTGGAAGATTCTTCAGGATTTGAACGTGGGTTTAAGTCATGCGCCACAGACCATTGTTGCTTGTTGTGTGTTGCATAATTTGTGTCAAATTGCCAAGGAGCCAGAGCCTGAACCATTGAAGGACCCAAATGAGACTGGCCCTGCACCCAACATTCTTGACACTGAAAAGTCTCTGTGTTATTATGGTGAAAGTGTGAGGCAGGCGCTGGCTGATGATTTGCATCAAAGGCTTCCATCGAGGTAGCTAACGTTCCATCAATATAGTCTTTCATTTTGCACTTTCATTGTTGCCATGCTTGGTGGTTTTGTTTATGTTCTGTTGGGTCTTAAGTTCAACCACTGAAGTCATTGCATACATTAGAAAGAGTAATTGTTCATAGCTTGATCCTAGAAGAACTCTGCCATTGACTGATAGCTTTAGATCATTAGTTAGAAACAAAGGGATGCGTTTGTTGAGTAATGCATGATTGTCTTAAGATCCTAGGCGTTGTGTATCTGAGTTCAATGATGCTTATATGAACTGTAAGTTATGGGTGAATGTTTGTAGAAACTTAGTGTTCATTGTGTACTCAGAAACTCTAATTGAAGCATTTCAGCCAGTTTGATGTATGTTTGATGATATATTTTGGCTACTTTGCATCTTTGATTCCTGAAATCATTTAGATTTGGTGTTTCTTTATAAAGGAACTGATAGAGAACTTGGAAGAATTAAGTTTGAGAATATTTTTTTAGGAATAGGAAGAGAGTTTGATACAGGAGTGTACTTTCAACCGGCTAATCCGAGTTATAAGGGTTAGGTTGGGTTTAAAAGGGTTTCGGGTTTGGGTTGGGTTCGTTTTTTGGAACTCGATCTGGTTCGGGTTCCGATCCACAACTCGAAAACCTCAAAAAATTTAAAATAGGACCAAGCCCTTGCCACCTAGCGCATCTGCACTTCGCATAGTGCAAATGGTCTCTCTCTACTCTTGGATACACGAGATTGAATTAATAATTGTAATGATGAAGTATGTTATTCCATCGTTATCATCTTTCTTATTGTCTCTCTGCTCTTCGTCTTTATAGTTCTCATATTACAGTGTTCGTCTTCGTCGTTCGCCTCTTTATTTCTCTGTTAACGTCGTTCTTATCTCATTGCGGACGTCGTTCCTGTCTCTTCTCAATTTGGAACAACCCAAACACACTTCTTGTCTCTTCTCAGTTTAGAACAACTCAAACACAACCCGAACCCAACCTGAAGATAAAGAGTTGAGTTGGGTTGGGATGGTGAAAATTTTCGATCCTTACCCACAAATCCCAAAAGGTAAAACAAGGTCCTCATAAATCATGGAGACCGATTCGAGGACTAAGCCCCTAACCCAAAGGGGTAATGAGACCTCAAATATTCGGTCAACATCTCCCCTATTGATACAACAAAGCCCTTGTATAGACTCTGGAGCATCATCTAAATAGAGATACACCCACCTAAAAAGATATGCAATATTATCTTATTTAGGTGTTCGTTATCAAAAACACCATATCAATCATTAACTCTTATGAAGAATGTCACCCACAATGGCCATTCATGCCAGACATAAAATAAAGTTATAGAATGACCATGTTTTTCCCCTTTCGGTTCAACAATGTAGGAACCCAACCGGACCCAAGAATTCGACCCTTCATTGGGTCATGGTGTTCGGATAATCCAATGACTCAAATAACCCAAACTATATAGGTTAAGTAAACCCAAACGATAAAGGGTAAGTTGAATTGATTTTTTTTTTTTTTTCTTTTCCGATTTGGATTGGATTGAATTTTTGAAAAACTGAAAATTTGTTTCGGTTCATGGATTGAAACTTTTTTGGTCGAGTCAACCCTAACAACTCGAAGGATCACAACCCATCCAAACCCTAAATTTGTTACGATTCTCTAAATTTTTTAATATTATTTTTAAATGTTCATATGTATTTTTAAAATGTCGTTCATATATTAATGGCAAAGGTATTTTTATATTTTTAAAGTTTTTAAATAAATTTAAGGATATTATTGAAGTTAAAAGAGTATTTTTTAAATAACTATTTTTATGGATAAAAATATTTTTTAACTTTATTTCTTTGAATATTTTTATTAATTCAGCCTAAAATTAAACCGTCAGCCACGTTGTCACGGTCTCCGCCCCCTCATATAATTATATTTTTGAAGAGTAATACAGTCAACGCATTGGAGTTAGAATGGTCAACATATCAAGAGTCAAAACATCAGTTTCTAAATTACTGTGTTCAGTCAAAGGTTTCGGCCGTCGGTTTTGTCTTTTGACTTTGACTTGATATTTCATAGTCAACGTCACTAGGTTGACCACAAGTTAGACACTTTGACTCAGTCAACTCATACTCGATTTCATTTTTAGTCCTCACATATTATATAGTCAAGCAAAATTGAAATTACATTACAAACATAATTATTTAGTTCCAAAATATCGTCTCATTCGTATCTATCTTGTTTAGTTAATTTAAGATATAATAATGTTTCGAAAGATAAATTAAATATAGACCGTGTTAATAAAATTTCATGTCACTTGCCACTAACTTAGAAATAAAATGATGTATTTTATCTGCTGAGTTATGTTTATGTTAACATATACAAATATTTTAGCGTATAATCGTCAGAGTTAAAGTATTTTTATAATTACGCAATATTTTATCTTGAGTCCAAGTTCACATATAACAGCTAAAGCTCACCGCTAACAAATTTTGTCCGCTTTGGCCCGTTATGTATCATCATCTGCCTCACAATCTTAAAACGCGTCTAATAGACAATAACTTTCAATTCTTTAAAATCTTTCTTAGTTATTCAGGATCGTTCTCATTCGGATGTAATCACAATTCATTAATATACTGCTCTTTTACTCGAGTGTCACATCATAACTTTATATAATGAATCTCCACAACTCATTTTAAGTGTTGAGTTCAAACTCTTCCTTGGGTCGTGACCTTCCCTTGAATTCTCAAAACTTCTTTCGCTTCATCCCCACAGAGGCAGAGAACCCATTGCTGTCTCGGCGTACTACCGGAAGCTCTGGGAAGTCGGAATAGGAGAGCACTCATCTGGGAGTGGACTTACTACTTAGATGCTTTCA